TTTTGGTTGCAGCAAAAAGAAATATGATAGACTACAAGCCTTAAAGAAAAAACTAGAAGAACACCTCAAGCATATGAAATGTGGGAAAGGAAAAAACAACTCCACCATTAAGAGTATGTTGAAGAAAGATTATATGGACCCCAAGAGCAAAAAGGCTGAAGAAATCATTCATGCTATTGCCATATGGATATGCAAGAATCTGCATGCATATTTGACAGTTGAAGAAAAAGAGTTTGTTGCTTTGATCAATCTACTTGAGCCACGATACACGGTACCATGTAGGACTACCCTTTCTAGGTCTATAATTTCAAAATTAAACATTTCTCTGAAAGCTAAGGAAGCTGCCAATTTTAAAATTGTAAAAGGAAAACTAGAATCTATAAATACAACAGTTGATATGTGGACATCTGACACTGCTAAAAATTCTTATATATCACTGACCGTTCAGTTTGTTGATCCTGAGTGTGAGCAGGTGTCTTTCAGTGTAGAGTGTGAGCCCTTCCCAGGAGTCCATAGTCGAACTGCAGTGATTCAGAAGATAGAATGGATGCTTGCTGAAAAACTCGGTCTAGAGCCAGGAATTGTGGATCAGCCTGAGATTTACATCACTGCAGACAATGGGCCAGACATTGCTGCTGCACTGGCTGAGCCCACAGAGCAGAAACTTCTTGACCCAAAGGTGCCAGCTGAGCTGTAAAAGGCGAGAATGTGGTTTTATATCAGGTGCTTGTATCATACACTGCAGTTGGTAATTTCAGATGCACGAAAAGAAATGAACGCTTAAACTGTCATTGAGACAGTGAAAAATATCGCTGTTAGATACTCACGGGCAAAAAATGCCAGAGAAGATTTACGTAAGTTTCAAAGTGACCACAAACTTCTACAACACACTATTTTGTTAGATTGTGAGACAAGGTGGAACAGTGAGAATGTTATGCAAGAGAGGATTTTAGAACAAAAAGCTGCAATAAAAAGCGAACTTGCCCATGCTGGTGAAGAAAGTTTAACTGTCCAGGATTGGGGCCTTGTTGACGGGTATGTGCAAGTGCTAAAACCAATATTTGATCATACCGCCCAGCTTGGCAGCAGTACTGAGGTGACATTTTCGACTGTCATACCTGTTTTGTTTGAAATAAAGTGTTCACTTGAGGACTCCATAAACAAGGCAAGAAAGGGAACTGGAGAAATATTTGCTCGAAAAGTGCTGTCTAAACTTGAAGAGCGTTTTCCAGATTGTGATTACAAAGATAAAGAATTGTATCAAATGGGCATCATTGTGGACCCTAGATTTAAAGATGTATTAATCTCTTCCTTTGACGGTGACAAGACTGCTCAGTTCCTTCTGGAGAGGAAAGCTTTGGAAAAACATAGGGGACATATAAGAAGAGGTTGGGTAGGGGTGGAAGAAACTAACAATGAAGAAGAGGCCACTGCAGCTGCATCTCCCCAAACGAACAAGAAATCAAGATTTTCCCACTTTGCCAAAGTTGGACAGAACAAATCTGATACTTCTACTTGTTGACATCCTTTGTAGTCTGCTCTGACTTTAACTATGCACAAAAGAGCATCTATCTTTCTGCTACTTGTAATTTCTCATACTATGTCGGTTCGCCATACTTTGAATAAAATATCTTGCTCACTCTGTGCCGAACTGCTCAACTAAAAGGTTGTATTCTCTTACCATTTCCCCTTTGCACATTTGCTGTACAAATTGTCACGACTTATAAATAACAGGTTATGGGGCCCAGATGGCTCAAACTTATTCTGCGTACCTACTCTCTTTTGTGACAGGAAAAGTGAATGTGCCAAACATGTCGGGCAAATAGGCTAAGGCGAATCACATAACCCCATTAAAGGACATCGTTGGGTATCCACTCTGGTACCGGCAGATTACCGCTCTCCTGACGGGAGAACAGCTGATGAGGTTCGTCGATGGCTCCCACAAGCGACCCCAGGACGACGCTGCAGCGCTCTCCACGTGGCTGAAGAAGGGCGCTCAAACCCAAAGTCTGCTGTTCTCCACACTCCATGATTCTGTCAAGACCCATGTGCTCTCTGCCACTATCTCTGAGAAGTTATTCAGGAAGCTAAAACTCATCTACGAGAAGGACAGCGATCAGCAGCGGTGTCAATTGTGGAATGAGTTTCACTCCTGCCAGTATGACAAGCAAAAGTCTGTTCTGGAGAACACCAGAACATAGTGTTCCGCCCATGGAGCCAAGAGATCGAGGTAACGTGGCAAGCCCCCACCTGACTCCAAACGGTCAAAACCCAGTGGTTCCGGTAAACCACATCAGGAGAAATCCACTGTAAGTTCAGACTGTTAGAGGCAGGTTAACTCTCACATAACCCATTCTGGTGCCCACGACAGCTCAGCTGTTTCTTGTCGGCAGACTCCAGGTTCAGGAGGGGACAGGGTGTCCGCACAACCTCCAGACCATGGAGGTCAACATGGGCATATGGCTGCATGCCTCCATGAGAAAAATTATGTGATGGGACGCTACAGTGCATGTACTGCACACATGTTTAACGACAAAAATCTGCTAACAAACTTCTCGCATGGACATGCAGACATGATGGTTGCAAAGAAAAACCAGACAATGAGCTCCGTGGGAACTGGCTCTCTGGTCACTGATAAATGTGTGTTTGACAACATACTTGTTCCAGAATTAAGGAGGAATTTGCTGTCTGGGCATGCACTGACAGAGGACAGTAAACCAGTACTTTTTACAAGAACTGGACTGAAGATTCTGAAAGGCGACTTGGATGTGCCCACAGACAGAGTTCTCATAGGAGGAAGCAAGTTGCCCAATGGATTGTACACTGTCAGTGTGAGGCCAACCAGAATCCACAACATGCTGTCTCTGCCTTCCGAGCAAAAGTCAGAAGTGTGGCATGGGAAGACAGGACACCCTAGTATGACAGGCTTAAAGAAACTTGCGTCCTTGTGCCCTGAAGTGAATGTGCAACTGTCTCACCAAGATCTGACCAGAACGTGCACCACCCGCATCCTAGCAAAGCAGGCTAAAAACCCTCACAACAAGATCAGGGAGAGAGCTACTGCGCCTCTAAGGATCATTCATTCAGACGTGTGTGGGCCATTTTGAATCCCAACTCATGGCAACAAATTATACATTGTCAGCTTCGTGGATGATGCCGCATACTTCTGTACTGTCTTTCTGCTGGAAAGGAAAAGTGAAGTTTTTTCTTACTTAACAAGATTCGTCGCCGAAGCCGAAAATTTCAATGGAAAAACAGTGCACAAAATAAGGAGTGACAACGGGGGCGAGTACCCAAACCACCAGTGCATTTCATGGTGCAGAGGTAAAGGCATTGTGCTCAACACCTCAACACCTCCAACCCTCGCTGCCCACATCAAAATGGCACATCGGAGAGAATGAATAGGACCATCCTGGGGAGAACCAGGGCCATGCTCTTTGACTCCAAGCAACGTGAGGAAATGTGGGGTGAAGCTGTTCTTACAGCAGTGCACCTGATCAACCGCATCCACTCTGAGGCAGTCGATGGCATACCACCTCAGCTCTGGTATGGAAACAGGCCGAACTTGTCTCACCTGCAAATCTTTGGTTCAGAGGCCTGTGCAAAAATTTGACACCATTGGAAAAAATGGAACCACGCTCTGTCAAATCTGTTTTCGTTGGCTATGGGTCTAATAGATACAGGCTCTGGAATTCTGAGTCACGAAAAATTTTCATGGCACGTGACATTGTGTTCACTGGTCTCATGGCCTCTAAAATCGATCAGCCACAAAACAATAGTGATCTGCTCATGCAGGTGAAACAACCAGAGGAGGCTGTGCTAGTGCCACTCGACTCTGGCACAGAGCCAGTGACACACCCATCTGAAGAGCGCGATGCAGATCCTATTATGCACTTGCCCGGGATGACAGAAACCGCCAACTGAGTGCTGGTTGATATAGTGCAAGAGGAAGACCCACTCGAGGATGGCAATCATCAGGAAATGGATGGCACCCTTCAGGAACCTGCAGACAACCTTGAGCAAGCTGCACAAACCCAGAGACCACGCCAAAACATAAAGTTGCCTAGCAGATTTGATGACTACGAAGTGTACTGGACTGCAGACACCAATGAAGGAGAGAAACGCCTTCTGAGCCTTCTTGTCCAGTCCTCCCAGGAGGCAATGTTCACATACCAGGAATGCGTCAAAAATAAAATGTGAAAGAAGGCTATTGACGAAGAGCCGAAGGCCCGACCATCGCCGCCGGCAGGCCAAGCAGGCCTGGCCCCTGCCGAACGGAGTTGCCGGCGCAGCGAAGTGGGGCTGGCAACTCCGTTTGGCGGAAGGGCGGGCCTGCTTGTTCTATAGTTTTTCTGTACTAAAAGTAGTAAATTCTATGCTTAGTCATCACTAATACTGCAAAATTCTTCAGTTTATTTCTGGTTTAAACACAGTTTACTCTCTCCTTTTACACATTTTTAACAACTGTTATTGGTACATTAAAAACACAGAAACATCCTGGAGAGTAAGTGAAGATCCTTCCATCCGGGTATACTGATGCTTCGTGCGCAGTTTGAAGCTAATTGAAGTTGCCGTCTTTCAGAAACGTGTGTGGTTATATATAGACACACAACCACCAAAGAGTTCTCTGCACCGCACATCACAGCAAAGGCTTCGCAAGCTTAGCCAATAAAAGCTTTAACTTATTGAACGGTTGATATTTCAAAACAGCATTGAGGATCATGATTAAAAACCTGCCCTTCACAATAGCGTATAACTATTTATCTATTTATGTACGTGACTGAGCAAATCTCTTATTACGTGCTTGTATACCGCCTCATACGCCATACTGCCGATGAGAAAATCAATATGATTGAAACTTGTGTTCGTAACTCTCTGCAGTCTTTTTATCACCGGCAAACTCTTAGCAAGGTCCTCGACATCCTGAAAAAAATAACTCGCATATACTTCACCACCGATGAGCAAAATCCGAGTTCTGACCCTGGATTATGGGCCAAGCTACGCGACAGTCTTTCACCCTTGCATCATACTACCTTTCTCAAACGACCGTTAAGTCTTTCATAGGCTCCGCCGATGCAACAGTCTGCTATCGTAATTCAAAATAACGTGCAGCAATATCTACTTACCCTGTCATTGACTAATGCGTCCGTTGACGAGTAATAAACATACATAGGTGATGAGATATTACGCAGGTTGTAACCTGGTGGGTTCTTGGTTCCATACACTTGCTTATTTTTTGATGGGCCGAAATCGTACTTTTGGAAATTACCACCTGAAACATAGCAAAAGATGCTCCTTCAAGTTCCCCCGTCCTTCAGTTACCTTCTTGGAAATTGCACCTCACAGTATAATTTTATGTTGCTATTGTGAGAACATCTGCTAGCACGTCTCATAGCTAGAAAGAATACTGTCGTGTCGTTTGTCAGAACACAAGAAGTGTTGGTGTGTGTAATGCAAGGGTTCGGGAGATTATTGGCTGAGCGATTAGCGAAGCCCATAACTCCACTGACCGGAAAAGTTTCATTCTGTTTGTTTGTCTGTCTGTTTGTTTGTCTGTTTGTCCGTCTGTCCGCACGATAACTCGAGAAAGAATTGATAGAGCGACCTGGGATTTTCAGGGTCGTTTTGTACCATAAAAAGACAGATCGAGTTCGAAGATGAGCATTGTAGCTCATAAATTGACTTTTAAAAAAAATCAAAAACCACAGGT